GGTCAATCTTGATGAGCTGTACTTTGGCTTTCTTCAGCAGGTGGAGCATCGTCTTATTAGCTCCACTGAGACCAATTCGATGGCTGGGCCCGCTGACTTCTAATCCCTCGGGACATTCCGCTGTAACGCCTCCTGCTTCATCTTAAATTACAGTGTAAACAATGTGTAAACACTGATGTGCAAAGCAAACGCCATCATTTTCTACGACCACCAAGATTTTCAGAAACAATAACACAAAAGGAAACAAGTCTTACTGTTGTTGCCTGTATCTCCCAACGGCAGATGTGAAAGCCCTTTCACGTTGGCGTCCAGCGACACGGCTAGTTTTCTCACTACGCCGGGAGAGTCCATCTCCTCCATCGTGATCTTTGACCGCCGTCTCTTCCTGACGTGAGAGGTCAAACCCTCGCCGAGATGTGCATGATCCCCCTGTGCGTCAGAGTGGCCTTTCTTCTTCTCCTCTGCTAGCTTCAAGGTTAGTTTCTTGAGGTTCTTGTAGATCTCCAGGTGACTGGTGCCCGGCGTGGGCTTTGATGAAAACTTAGAGGGTGCAGACGGGCTGTCGGCCGCGGACATCAATTCGCTGTCCGCCTGCAGCAGGTTGTCCTCGTAGCTCAACTCGTGGCCCGACGGACTGGCTTTCCCGTCCTCCCTTTGTTGACTTTTCAGCCATGTTGACAGAGGCCCCTTCGGAAAGGAAATCATTTCTTCATCCAGGAACCTTTTTGGCGTTTTAATTACGCGTGAGGACCGTGCGCTCATTACAGGATTGGATGAGTTGGAGTTTGTCTGGACTTCTTTAGGAAACGAGCTCGGCTCACCCTCCAATGGAGCAATATTTGGCCCATGCTGCTGCTTTTCGTCCACTGTCTGTGTGGCTGGAATCGGCTCCGTCACATAAGTGTAGAAAACATGCCTAGTGCGTCTACGGCGGATTTTGGGAGGTTTCAATTCTGGAGGGATTCTCGATTGCTTTCGCTTGTGCCCAAACAAAGATCTGCGCCTTCTGTGAGTCTTTTTTTCAGAGGAGTGTGTGGCTTTGCACGCCAGGGGCATCGCTGCCTCCTCGCCACTCTGGGCCGCGGCCTCAGCGCCGGCCTCCGGAGAGGCACCCGTACCCTTAGCCATCCGCTTTCTCGGCCGTTTGTGAAAGGACGTAAATGACGGACCGGCTGCTTGAGACGTGCGTCTTGTGTGCCCAATTCGAAACCCTCTCATGCCTCGCCCAAATCTCTTTGGCTGTGATTGGTCCACGTCCGGGTCCGCTGTCACCTCGCCTCGCTCTCGGACCGCGGCAGCTTGCTTGGTGCTACCGGCGGAAGTAGCGGCCGTTTGGTTTTGCCTCCTGCGTGACTGTGCTGATTTTCCTGCTTTCCCGATAAAGTGATCTGATCTTGTACTATTCTGTTCACCTGAGGCCAGCTCGCCTGAATGTTTGGCTTTCGCAGGGAGCGCCACCTGCCTGCCGTGCAGTTTAATTACCATCTTGGGTATTTTTTTGTCCTTTTCTGGGCTTTCTTGGATACCCTGGTCTTCTTTTGAGATCCGGGGTACAATTTTCCCAATAAGGGACGGTTGTGGGCTCTTGGGTATAATATTTCCAATGAGAGGCGTTGCTGCCAGAGAACAACCTGAAGCTTGGGGAGGCTTTGCTTGGCCGAGTAACGAAGCCTGAGGAGCTTTCTGTGGAGAAACTGTTGAGGTCCCAAATCCAGCGAAAAATTCCTCCTAAAAGAAAAACAGAAAATTACAGCCGTTGAATGGAAATTACACATTTGAGCGCTTTCAAAAGTAAGACACAGACAGGTATCTCTGCATAAAAAGGCACCCGGGAAGCAGTTAGGGGTTGGGTGTCTTGCTAGAGGAAACTTTGACATGGGACATGGAGCAGTGTGCACCCTTTTGGCATGGGTCTCACTGTTAGGGAGATTTTCAAAAATATTTCCTCTGAAATAAATCAGGAGTGTAGCAATCAAGCTACAAAGGAACTAAAAACACTGCATGCCCAATCCTTCATGGAACGCAGAGTACTAGAAATTCAAACGCCAACGCCCCAAAGGTTTAATGATCCGCACCAAAACTTTGAGCCATGTGATTCTGTTACAGTCAACTCTACAGCGATCGCATAGGTGAAGTCAGAGACTTAAGCCACGATCGTGGAGATTAATAAAGAAGATTGAATTTGATTTGGCAGTATCATCCTATCTGGATGGAGGTGCAATGAGAGCATCTTGTAAGAGAATCTTACACACTTTTATGAAGAAAAGTTGAAAATAAAAATATGGACGTAGATTTAAGCCCTCTAGTATCAGTTCGCCGAAAATAGTTAAGAGCTCATTATGACTCCAGCTTTAACCAGTTAGGAAGAAAGGCTCAGAGCATGACTTGTGGTCAAACGAAATCTCTCACAATAAATGGGAACGAATAAATAAAATCGGACAAAATACCATTTTGAGTTTTAGTCTGCATTTTAGAGCAGATACAGAAAGTAAAACTAGATCTCACACTAACACAAAACTAAAAAGCAAGCCAAAACCACCCTAAAATAAACAGAAGAACAATACTAAATTCCCAAAAGAGCAGCAATCCCCAAAACCAATATTTCATCAGTAGAACACGGACACACACATTTAGTGGCTCATTGCTAGAGAACTGCTGACATGATGGTCTTTCATCCAGAGAATACTTGATTTGCAATAACTCATAATTCGGGACAAAGCCTATGCAAGCAAAGCAACACAAAAGTGCTCATGTTTAGAGCATCGTGACCATTATCAGGAAACCCTGATCTTTATAAAACAAACGTACTTAATCACAGTAAAAGGTTGGGGAAGCTTTTATTCCTCCTTTACTTCACCTGTACACAAATCTCAATATGAATGCAGGGTGCGAGTGATACGTTTGTTGACATTCACACCTTTCAACGCGGGATCCAGATTAGAAACTTTCATTTCATTTTAACGCGAAGATAACGTTTCTGTTTGCATCACACGTTCAAAACAAAGAGCAATCAGCTGACCGCCTCAACGTGGAGAAAGTGATCGGCACGTTAGCAGCAGCGACGTTTTCACCACAAGATAATAAACGCGTGGATGTGAGCGCAGTGTGGGAAGTTCAACGAACTCAACAAAATGTGTCGGGATGAAGGAAAAAAAAAATAAAACCCACATCGAATCGTTTCTAAACAAAACGCGTTCACACTTGCGATCTTACCGCCAAACTTCCTGGGTAATGGTCGTTGCAAAGCAACTCTAGTGGATTGACGCAGATCTCTGTTCGCAACTTCAAACAGAACATAAAAAATGTATATCTGAATAGTCAACATGAAGAAACATTTACCGGTTAACCCATCCGAAACACTAAGGTAAGCAAGGCGGGCGGCTAGCTACGAAGCCTATTTTGAGTTAGTGATCGGATACCGCTAACTAACGTTAGCTATACGTTAGCTTCAATACTTTAGAAAGTAAAGAACGGATTGATTTAAATGCAGTTCATTTGAAAGAATAAACGGACACATATGCCGCATAAAGCGTCTTGTAAGAATCCCAGCTGACAGTAGGCTTACTCACCTCCTCACTGTTACTGGAGTCGAAGCCCGCATCTCTCTGCCTTCTGTGCTTCTCCGCCACCCCGAGCAGGCGCAGCAGGGCCGGGTCCTCGCTCAACGCAAGGCCGATGTTTACGGGCCTCGGCCCTTCGGCAGGCAATTCCCCGTCGTCCGAGCCCAACCTTCCGCGTTTGATACGTTTCTCCGACCGCAGCCTGCTGCGAACCGTGCAAGGCCGACCCGGGAAGCGAGCCCGGGCCGGCGCTTGAACGCTCAAGCCCGCCACGGCAGCGGGAGATGATAATCCGCCTCCCGATGCCGCCATTATTTACTACAACAACACGGACGGCGAGCTGGCAGAATATGACAGCGGCGATGTGAGGCAAGATGGACTGCGCCGACGCAAAGGCGCGAGATAGAAAGGGATCACAAGTGCATCATGGGAAAACGAACTTCTGCCCCACATGACGCGATGCTGCACATTACCCGCCCAATTCCGTCCCAGCCGAGGCACCACTCTGTCCCATTGTCCCATTTACATAAAATGAATCTCACCCATCATACATAAATCTAACTAACGGGACAAAACGCGAATTAGCCAATCAGAGGCACTGTAGGGCTGGTAATTCCTTCCCTATAGTAGGATCAGGATTCGTAATAAGGTTCCTGCGGGAAGCCTGTTCTGCAAAGTAGGAGACGTTGATTGTTAAATCCACTTTTTATGAATCAGGTGTGATGATAAACGTTAAATATTGTGAATTAATTATTATTGTATCAGGGGTGTAATACATTTTCAGATCACTAGTACAGTGACAGTTAATTATTACTAGTCCTGCATTCAGAAGCAAAGAAACAGCTAATGTTATATTATATGAGCAGAAGGATGTCTTGCATGATAATCTAAAAATAACTGCAATAGCGTTGAAATTAAACATAATATATAAAGCTGCACATTTGGAAATGTTCAAATAAGGCTTTGTCCTCAGGAACCTCAAAATTGTACCACTTTGTTAGTTAAAATAAAATGTTAACTTAAACCACAGGACAATGCAGACAGTAGCTAACATTGTTTTGTTTTCACCACATGCATCACAACTAGTTTTGAAATTATTGCATGAAAGGTAAATGTATTTTGTTTTAGACTTGTTTATTGTAAAAGCCAAAATGCACATACATCTTTTTAAAGTTGAAATGTATGGCCATAGTTCTCATATATTCAAGTGTCTGCAGGCTGCCATTCATTCATTTTGCCAAGTCCAAAATCTACAAGTTAATTTGAATACAGAGTAACATTTATTCTTTCAAAAATGAATAATGTTGAATCTTGAGTATTTTTTATTGGGACAAAAGCATAGTATTCAACAAAGTGTCTTCAACATTACTACATTTGATTGAGCCCTTTATTCAACCATTCACACGCACACACACAAATTGACAAAGACACCACAGAAACATAAGTATTGTTTAATGCAAGAATTATTTCCTTTTGAAAGAAAAAATTAAACCTGCAGATCACATTCATGAATTCTTTGCACTGGCCATTATTCAGATTCTATGATGTTTAGGACTAACATTTCCTGTGTAATTGACACCCTTATGTGTACATCCTGAAAATATAAAACAAAGTCTTCATGAATAAAAAATACATTCTAGATACAACAGAGGTAATGTGGACAGCAAGAGCCGTGTATCATGAGCTTACGGTGGACATTAATCACAATTATGTATAGATCTGTACAGTTTTATTTTCAAGTATAGGACATCTTCCTAAAAGCAATTGAAAAAGTCACTCCAAAAACCACTTAGAAGTCATATGTGTTGCATAACATTTCTTTAAAACCTCTCACCCCATTAGTCACATAAAGGTCTCCTACCTACACTAGACAGATTATGGCACTAAACACTCAGATAATAATTTATGTGAATGATGTAGGAGGAAGTTAGTCTTTTCCCCATATATTATCTTTTTTCTACTGCCACCTCTTCTCCAGTGTGGGTGCTCTGGTGGATCTTCAGGGCGCTCTCTTGTGCAAAGCTCTTTTCACAGATGGGGCAGGTGTATCCAGAGAGGTGCTCACTGGCTATGTGTGCTTTGAGCTGCTCAGGCTGAGCGTAGCTCTCATCACACTCTGTGCATGCGTGAGCGTTGCCAAGCGTAGACCCATGTACCTCCCTTTTGTGTGACCGCAGGGTTGTAAGAGAGGGGAATATGAGGTCACAGTTTGCTTCAGAACAAGGGATGTTGAGTTCTGGTTCCAGGTCATTGGACGGACAGCCCTCTGTTGTAGAGTCATCGTACCCTACTTCCTCTTCTTCTTTGATCTTCTTGCTCTCTACCATCCCCCCTTGAGCTGCACTCTTAGGTTTACGGCCACGTTTCTTGCCTTGCGGCTTAACGCCACAGTTTATATCACTGGCAAATTTCTCCTGGTGCTCCAGAAGCTCTTCTTCGGTCTTGAAACTGGAACTACATTTGCAACATTGGTAGGTGTTGATGTCATCAGCAACCACGGAGTTCTGTGGGTGCACAGCCAAACGATGGTTGCGAAGGCGTGAAGGGCTGGGGAACAGTGCGCCACAATCCCTGCAGGGACACCGTCGTTCTATGCACTCGTGTCGCCGGTGTTTGTTCAGCTGCAAGACATTACACATTCATCCTACAACATCATTGAATCAGTTCCCAAGATCACAATAAAACATGTGGCGTGCTGTGCACTCACCTCAGTAAAGGTGAAGAAGTTTTTCTGGCAGTAAGCACAGAGGAAGGGCTTCTCCTCTGTGCTGTGGCTGGCCTGGTGCTGGCTAAGCTCCTCCGAGTAGGAGAAGCTCTTGTCACACTTGTAGCAAGTGAAGACCGTATCAGTCTGCAAAAAGGATGAGCAGGAGTTACAGTTGCAATCAAAATTATTCAACCCCCCATTGCACGTTTTTTGGCAAAATATACAATTTCTCGGCTGTTCGCAATAAACAAATTACACAATAATTGTTTAAGTAGTTTAATGAAACTAATATTACAAAAGGTTTTATCCAAATTCAACACAAAATGCAACTTTTAATGACTTTAATGAATTTACTGCAGTCTCAAAATGATTCAACCCCTTCATGACAAGCATCTTCAGTACTTAGTAGAGCACCCTTTGAAATTACTCAACTCCCTGTATCAAGCACACCTGGTGCAACTAATCAAGGGCTTCATTAGTTCAGGTGTGCTTGAGATAGAACACATAAATACCTGGTCTGGCTCCGGGTTTGTTCAGAGTGACGTTTGCTTGCATGTTAGAAATATGCCTAAGTCAAAAAATTGTCCAAAAAGATCATTGCCTTGCACAAACAAGGAAAATGATACAAAAAGATAGCAAAAGCACTGAATGTCCCTAGAAATACAGTTGGGTGCATAGTTCGCAGTGGCTACACTACCTGGACGTGGCAGAAAGAAGAAGCTATCAGCGGCTGCCCCCAGATTCCGGAGGAGGCAACTGGTCAAAACCCCTCGAGTGACTGCAAAACACCTGCAGCAAGACTTGGTGGCAGCACGCACTGAGGTTTCAGTTTGCACAGTAAGGCGCATACTAAACACTGAAGGGTTCCATGCCCGGACTCCAAGACGCACACCACTACTGACCCAAAAGCACAAGAAAAGTTGGCTCCAATATGCTGAAAACTATATAAATAAGCCACCGAAGTTTTGGAATTCGTTCTGTGGAGCGATGAGACAAAACTAGAACTATTTGGGCCTATGGATCAGCGGTATGTCTGGAGGAACACGAATGAAGCGCATGCTGATAAGAACACCCTGCCTACAGTGAAGCATGGCGGTGGCTCAGTGATGCTCTGGGGCTGCTTTGCTGCCTCTGGCACTGGAAACCTGCAGCGTGTGGAGGGCACGATGGATTCAGTCAAATATCAGGAAATCTTAGGAAAAAACGGCATGCCGTCTGTGATGAAGCTGAAACTTGGGCGTCATTGGACCTTCCAACAGGACAAAGATCCCAAGCATACCTCAAAGTCCACCAAGGCTTGGTTTTAGAAGAAGAAATGGAAGATCCTAGAGTGGCCATCACAGTCGCCTGACTTGAACCCCATCGAAAATCTCTGGTGGGATTTGAAGAAGGCGGTTGCAAAACGCACACCAAAGAATATTACTGAACTGGAGGCCATTGCCGATGAGGAATGGGCTACGATTCCTCAGGAACGCTGTCAGAAGCTGGTGTCTGGCTATGCATCACGTCATAACCGCAAAACGGTGCTCTACTAAGTACTGAAGATGCTTGTCATGAAGGGGTTGAATAATTTTGAGACCGCAGTAAATTCATTAAAAGTAGCATTTCGTGTTGAATTTGGACAAAACCTTTTGTACTATTAGTTTCATTAAACTACTTAAACAATTCTTGTGTAATTTGTTTATTGCAAACAGCTGAGAAATTGTATTTTTTATTATAAACCTAATGTGCAATGGGGGGTTGAATAATTGATTGCAACTGTAGGTTAGAAATATGAAATCCTAACTACAGGCTGTTTACGAATGATGACAATATTCAGCTGAAGTTCAATTGAATCTTCACTTTCATCTACAACTATAACATTTCTAAACAGTCTCTTATGTTTAGATAAAACAATACATTGAAAGAACAATCTGTAGATTACTACTTTAGATCCTGACCTGGCATTTTATATACAATCTTCTTTTTCCTACCTGCTGCAGGTGCTGTTTGTACTGGTCCCGATGACTCTTCCTCATGTGCCTCTCCTTGGCTTTGGAGTTACAGAAAGTGATGAAGCACTGGAAACACTGCAGACTCTCGTGCTGATCTGCATCACAATGAGATGACAAGTGGTTTTATGATTAGTTGGAACAAAACAGCTAGAAATATATGACTGCATGCTATGCTGCGATTGCTGTCAGTTGAAAAAATTATTTGATTAACATCACATTGTGCAGGAACTATGCAATGACAAATGACAGCTTACAGGATTGTAGAGGGGCGACCACGGGCTCAGACTTGATCTCCTCTGTGGTGGGTCTCCTCTCCTTCCCAACAATGACTTTCTCTATCTTCATCATTTCCATGCTTCTGCGTTAAGACACTGATAAGCCACATGGAGCCGCGACATTGAAACACACTGTGCAGCTCATGCATCTTCAAGGTTGAGACGTAAGGCTAACATTGAAATAACCCAGGTGAGAGGCATCGGGGTGTTTCAGATAAATATTCAGACATTGGAAGTCGTGAGAATAATGTCAAATAGATATCCCTGTTGAGAGGCTGACTGTCTTTTTAAGCTGGGCGGACTAGTTATGAAATAAAGACAAAAAGACAACATAAGACATATGGGCCTGAGCTAACGTTAGTTATTTGACAGCAACATTGAAAGTGAGAGGGTTCTGCTAATTTATCTTAACGGCATTTTAAATCTTGCGGCCAAGTGCTTACTTTTGTGTTATGCCTTTGTATTTAAATCTTCACATACATCAGAAATCGTGTTGAATATGGACTTATAAGTCTTAGTAAACAATTCCATCCATTTCTTACCGTATGAAACGTCCGCCGAAATGAAGCCGCAGTGAGTCTTGTTCCCACATCACGTGATATGAGAAGTACAACCAATCACGGAGATATCGCGAGACTATGGAACTGCGGTTGTCGCCAGTTGCTTTTGAACGTCCCTCAAGGCACATGCCTTATACGTTTTAATAAGTGACATCATCCTTTATGTTATTCTGTAACTATATGCAGTCATGCAGCACACTATTCTTGTTACAAAAAAGTTTTAACTGGGTCGGCATTTATCATAAAATGCTTTTTTCCACCAGTAAAAAATAGTGAACTCTGGCTGTGTTGAACTCTCTGTTTATGGTTTATTGCACATTGCAAATTCCTAAACATTAATGTATTTTTTTGCCACCAAATAGTGCTTCAGTCTTTAGTGGTGTTATCACCACCGTTGACTATAACAACTCTAATATACTGTAACTACTCATTTCAAAAATATTATTTGATATGAAAGATGATGAAGCTGTTCCTTTCTACAAATGTCTAGATCTAAAACACTTTTTAAAAAAATCAACAAAAAAGTTTAATGAAGATTCATAGAATTTTATTGGTTATTATTGGACAAAGCAGCGCATCACTGTAAAACATATGCACTTTAAATATTGTCAATGAAATAAGCACAAGGTTGAGGGCAAATAGACAGAAGAACGAGTCCAAGGAGTTAAGAGCTATTTAAGCCCTGGCCTGCTGCTTCTGCTGGTGCTCAGCAATTCGGCTTTCCATCACAGGCCTGAAGTGCCTGATCAATCCCTGAGAACACCACAAAAAAGAGAAAACATGAATAATAACAGAGACTGTGCAAACAACAGTATGTCTGTAAGTTTACATAAAACTGCATAAACGTGTAAATAACTAGAGGTGGTTAATATTTAATGGTCAGATTAAAGTATTTCATTGAAGTTGTGGTTGGGAGTTTCCTCTGTATAGCTACACCAACCTAAATCTAATACAACTGGCTATCATCTTCAGTTTTATTTAATGAATACAAGAGCTGTTAATTAAACTATGTGGTAAACTTTATTCACCCTCAATCAAAGTTCATAAAATAAACACTTTTGTCAACGTAATGCAAAACACATATAACAGCACCACAAGTTCCTTTTTTAGAATCCCCCATGCATCTTCTGAATGATCCTGTTGGTCCATGTGTTTACCTGCACTGGCCATGCCGCACCATCTCCCAGGGCACAGATAGTGTGTCCCTCTATCTGCTTACTCAGCTCCCAAATCATGTCAATCTCTGAAGTTCGAGCATCACCCTTCACAAAACGCCACATCATGTTATTCATCCAGTCCACTCCTACAGAAACAGATGAAAGAGAAATGTAACTTTCTACTAGAGGTATTACGAGGCACTGGAAAAACTCAATAAGGGCGATGTTATGGCCGGTGCAGAGGACGACACCGGCGCTCTTACCTTCTCTGCAGGGTGTGCACTGGCCGCAGCTCTCATGCTTGTAGAACTCAATCAGGCGGGCGATGGCTCTGATAATGTCAGTCTGAAGAAAAAGAAAGCGCAGCCACCAATCTAACAGATGTTTGATGATGACTTTGGCGAGCTATGGAGCAGAAGTGGCAACTTACCGATTTGTCCATGACGATGATTGCAGCCGTCCCAAGGCCGGTCTGAGCCTGAAGGAGGCCGTCAAAGTCCATCAGCACTTCTTCACATACCTTCTTGGGAATAAGCGGTGTTGAGGAGCCACCCGGGATTACAGCCAGCAGGTTATCCCAGCCGCCACGCACACCACCTACCAGATGGTTGTTTGTTTTCAATCAAGTAAAAAAAAAAAAAAAAAAAAAAAAAAAAAACTGCATTTACTTAGGCGGTGCTTATGTTAAGCTATCTTAATCTTCACTGTGACACCCCTCGGGGGCAGATGATCAAATTTAGGTTTTGACAGACTTCTGTCAGAGGGTTACAATATAATAACAACTCTACGTCCCAGTTTGAGAACCAAGCTGGTAATAAAACCGTTGTCTTAACTAGCGGGCTGATCAGATACATTTCGTTACACGTTACCTGCGTGCCTCTCGATGAGGTCTTTCAGAGGGACAGACATCTCCTCCTCTACGGTGCAGGGGTGGTTAACATGGCCAGAGATGTTGAAGAGCTTTGTTCCAGAGTTTCTCTCTCTGCCGAAGCCCAGAAACCACGAGCCGCCTCGACGACAGATGGTGGGCGCCACGGCTACAGTCTCCACATTGGCAACCGTTGTTGGGCAACCGAACACACCTTTAAGAGAGTAGATGTGAGGAATCTATTTCAGTGCCACTTTCATTTGGGCAAAAACAAAAGTCTTTCTGTTGTTCACTGTGTTCAGATCATAATAGCTATGAGGCCAATGTGTGAATGCAGTGAGATACAAGCTAACAAACATTACAATCAACATTTCATTCCACGTTTTTTTATATTATACAAACCCCCCTTGTCAAACGCTCTGCGTGCACCTTAACTCACCCACGTCAGCAGGAAATGGGGGCTTCAGACGGGGCTTCCCCTGCTTTCCTTCCAGGGACTCGATAAGAGCAGTCTCTTCTCCACAAATGTAAGCTCCAGCACCACGCATCACAAACACATCAAAGTCATATCCGGTGCCACAGGAGTCTCTTCCAATCAGCCCTGCAGCGTAGGCCTCGTTGATTGCCACCTAAGAATATATATATATATTTATATTTAAAAAGGAATGCTTCAACAGAGTGGATTTCTACAGTCTTCTACAATTATACGTTTGCTTTTCTACAAAATTCCTATTACAGTAATGAGCTCTTGACCTCCACTATGTAAAAATAAACCGCATCAAGACAACAGTACATACAACAATGTAAAAAGCATATTCGGTAAACATGTCATAGTTGTAGAACTTGGAATGAAGTTGATTTGAAAGAAATGGGAGAGCTCCTATTATGTTGTTAAGCACAAAGACGTAAATAAATAACAATTTCTCACCAATATGTTTTGTAGTATTTGCTGTTTCGTCGACTGGTTAGGTGGATATATCATCAGCATTGTTTGCAATAACATAATATAATAATAATAATACTCCACAAAAAGGTAAGTCAAAATGTGTAGGTGTTATATTCCAAAGTAACTATTGAATTATAAACTATTACTTAAGCTATTGGCATGTTTGTTAAATGCCTGTTTCAATAAACTGGTGGCGCAACCTTGAGACAATGTACAATGTAATCATTTAAACGTATACGTGTCAGGTTTCATGATCACCTGCAGGTTGGACGACTCATTGTAGAACTCTCCTCTGATATAGATGTAAGCAGCACGCGCCCCCATGGCCCTCCCAGCCACCAGGCAGCCCTCCACCAGCTTGTGGGGGTCATTCCGCATAATTTCCCTGTCCTTACAGGTGCCCGGTTCTCCCTCATCTGCGTTCACCACCAGATACTTTGGCCTAAAGCAAGACATTGGAACTGGGTTAAATATGTATATTATTTTTTAACTTAATGTTGTTCGACTGGTGAATGAGTGCAAACAGTTTGAGCAGATGGTTGGCAACAGCATACATCCAAATACAGTTTCACATTTTTTTGCCAATTGAATAAGTCGGTTACCTCCAATTATTAAAAACATTACTGTGAAATTAATTGTAATTTATAAACGTATGAAAGACTCATCACTCCCAATGTGTTAAGAGATTTTTACAAAATACCATTTATTGTTTTTTGAAACCAGCGCAAATACTTTAATTAAGGAATATAGACATTCTTCAGTGCTGGTTTGGAGACATTTTGGTTTCCATATGTAACGTGTAAAAATGAAACAGTCAAAACATGAGAATATCGAGCAAAAAAAAAAAAAGGACAGCAGAAACCTGAGCATTTATCTGCATGCTTACTAACCTGCCATCGCTGGGCTTGTTCATGAAGCTCCACTTCATGCCGGTGGGGAAACCAGCTCCACCTCTCCCACGCAGGCCAGAACCCTTGATCTCATTGAGGATCCAGTCAACTCCATTTAAAAGGATCTCTTTAGTTTTGTACCAGTCCCCGCGCTTCAATGCGCCCTTCAGCCTGAAACACAAACATGGGCATTGTGTTCCATTATTTTTTGCAAAATGAATAATTTGAAAGATATATAGTACCGGTCTTCAGGAATCTGTTCAGGTGAAAAACAATAGAATACACACGGATATAATGACAATATCTGTAAACTAGAAGACATTTGATAAAAAATGGCTTTTTTTTCACTCAATCAAAATCACCTGGAAAATAAATTCCCTGCATGAATGAATACATTCTAAGTCTTCAGGAATCTGTTCAGGTGAAAAACAATAGAATACACACAGATATAATGTTTTTTTATTTTACAGAGCCCATAACAATAAAGTGGTAAGGGGTGTTACCTCCAGTCATGGCGGCCATAAAGGTTTGTGAAAATCCTGTCCTCATCTGCCAGAGGCCCAAATGTTGTTTTCTTAGGAGCACTCTGAGCAAATCAAACACATCATTAATGTTAACATCCTTAACATATTAGTACAATTCACATTTTTGTTATTTCCAAAATGCAGGCCAGGTACAATTACATTTTTCATTTAGCTGAAGCTTTTACCCAAAGTGACTTACAATAAGTGCATTAAATCAAGAGGCAACAGATCCAGAACAACAAGAATGAGTAAACTACAAATCCTTCAAGAAAGCCAAACTACAAAGTGCCAGAAGTAAGTGTCATCATAAGTGCTAATGAAGTGCGAACTAGTCCAGGTATAGTCAGAAGAGGTTATGGCTGTCAACAAATATTCTATATTCGAATAGTTCTTAAAAACAACTATTCGAATGTGACAATTAATATTTAAATTTAAAAAAAAGAAAAACTGTGGCGCGACTGTCTGCTTTGCGGGTGGATGCGCGCCTGACTACCGACTGTATATTGCATGAATAAAATAGACCAGAGAGACTACAGTAGCTTCATGCACTGGTTTGTCGTTTGCCTTGATTTGCCGTTTCATGCAAAGGAAAAGTAATGTGTTTCGCGACCTAAATTGCTTGGACAAAACTTTTGATCAGCACTCAGCATTTACTTTATTATTGTCGTCCATTTAGAGAAAGAAAGACTGCGTGTGTGCGAGCGAGCGAGCGATCTGCGGTCTTGGCCATTAGTTAATTTACTTATTTTTGTGTAGGTAATATGTTGTTAAATATGTTTAAACTTAAATAAATTACCTATACAAGTAGTTATGTCCCGTTGTATTCATTTGTCCAGTTATTGACGCGCCTAATGCGCAACCAGATATTCTAATATATGTGTTTGTTTAAAGCGAATATTTAAACGTAATTTTTGAGCAATTTTGACAGCCCTAGTAGAGGTGTGTTTTCAGTTTGCGTCGGTACCTGCGCTGTGCTGTTGAATCGGGTGATAGCCGCTACTCCACCTTGACTGACAGCAGCTGGAGCGCGGGCCACCCCACACGCCACTGCTCGGGACAGAGACAGCATGCTTCCTACACAGAGGAGACACAAATCAAACGGACACTTTAAGTGACTTTTGTTGGACAATCACAGTTAGCGCTTTGGATGTTGATTACTTTCATCAATAATGAATGTGCTGATTATTTTCGAAGATGACGTTTTCCCGGAATCCGAGGTGACATCTTGTTTTACACAAATAAAAATAAATAGATCTAAACCCAAAAGGGATTTATTTGGCAATGACATAAAACACATAATCCTCCCATTGAAACAGGTAGAACCAGCGTTTAAGAAAATAAGTAAACTAATTGATAACAAATTTATAAATATTTTTCTATATTCACACAATAAACTAAAAGAAGCACAATAAAATGGGTTTATTTTTTAATCTTAGAAGCTAAAGAAGAACATAATGACTAACATCAAATATATTCTACACTATACATAACGTGTTATTACTAAAAATAGATGACATTTAATACAAAGTTATTGTAACTTAGCTGTTTTTTAAACACGTCAACATACAGTAAACTGTGAAGGACCTAAAGTAGACATTAAATTATATTGTTTTGATACCATTAAGCTGCTTCTAGTGAATACAACAGACGTCGAGAGAAAGCAGATGACGGTTCTGTCAACCAAAGCCACATTTTTACCGTGACGACCGAGATGTTGTATTTTTAAAGATATTTTTAAAGGCTCTGTCACAGCTTTGCTAAAGGAACCGAACTTGTCATGAGGCGGTGTTATGTCAAACGTTATTGAGGGAAGTTATCTAACGAAGGTGAGGGCAATTATATCAATCATCAACAACACTTCCCACTGTAATATTTAAGATAACCACAGTTGAAAGGAACTTGAATCATGGTAAACCAAACTGTTTCACCCGCTTATTAAGGACACCCGAGACCCATGCAGATACAACGTTAGCTAACGCTAGCATTAACTAACACTAGCCTGGTGCTAAGCTAACGTTAAGTCAGCTAGCGGTTAACCTTGCAATGTCAGAATAACATCAGCCGATTCACGACATAAACATCCAGACGTCACGTTGACGAGACATCCACGGACACGTTTACAGCAGCCGCAATGGTAGCTGTATTAAAAACACATGTGGAATAAACGGGTTGGATGAAAATTAGCACAATCGAAACAATCGAAGCGGCTTACCTTCTCTGACGATACGTCCAGAGTTTATGAAACACTGAACGGAAGTGAAGTGCACAGAGCCGGAAGTTCATCAGCAGCGCGGCGGTTGTAGCGCTGTAGAGGCTTCTTTAAAAGTTCTGGTTGCACAACAGGCTTACAATTTCATAACAACAGTCAATCCTCACTGAAGGTCAGTTTGTATGTGTATGTTTAGAAATTCTTATGCAGTTCTTTGGTAACATTACCTACTGTGGATAACTAAAACAGTTACACTACAAAAGGAAATAATGCACTTTTAATACACTTGTCACTTTTCAAAATAAAACTTTAAATAGTCAACATATAAGGCTGATATATATGGCTTGTATATACATGGGATATTTTTATATAAATGTCATGTTTACATACATACATATATATATATATATATATATATAATATATATATACACACACACACACACAATTTGAAAGTGGCTATTCCACAAGGAGACATATATTGCCTTTATTACTTGCACCTGGTGATATAATGATATTTCTGTCACTGTGTTTATGGCTCCCACGCAGGCCAGAACCCTTGATCTCATTGAGGATCCAGTCAACTCCATTTAAAAGGATCTCTTTAGTTTTGTACCAGTCCCCGCGCTTCAATGCGCCCTTCAGCTTGAAACACAAACATGGGCATTGTGTTCTATTATTTTTTGCAAAATGAATAATTTGAAAGATATATAATACCGGTCTTCAGGAATCTGTTCAGGTGAAAAACAATAGAATACACACGGATATAATGACAATATCTGTAAACTAGAAGACATTTGATAAACAATGGCTTTTTTTTCACTCAATCAAAATCACCTGGAAAATAAATTCCCTGCATGAATGAATACATTCTAATGACACACAAGAGATGTTTGTTAAAATACATAACCTATAAAAGGTTTATTTCTAATGAGTATATAATACATAATATATTATTTATATTTTTTAAAAATCATATTATATACTTTAAAGCCAAATGGTTGTTTTCATATTATTTTCCAACAGTAAATTAAAACAGAGTAATAAAAAGTATTTTTCAAAAGAAAGGTCAATAAATTAAGTGGAAGGAATCTCAAATGATATTCAACACTGAATTGGAGAAATTCAAAAGTAGATTTCTTTTTAGATAGACTTAGACTTAGAATTAAATGTGGGATTTTAAACAGTGATGCATAGCCGTCTACAATCTGTTTTTGCTGGAGTTATTACATCACAGCAGCTTAGACTCACTGAACATTTGTACTTAACTGTTACTTGATAGAACCTTTAGATCTGAGGGATCATAATAATCAGCTCTACATTCAGCCGTGCACGTATGAATGATGGAAAGGATTATGAAACTGCAGTCCCAGAAGGCAGGCAACTGAAAATGATTATTAAAGCAGTATTTACATTTGGAAAACATACAAAGATCTAAATCTAAATGACTTGAGAACCAACAAAACAAAATCAGCTGAAGGTGAAACATTTTCAACCACGTGTGGCAATAATGTGAAAATAAATAAAACTGAGGTTGTACATCCATCATTGAGCACTAAAGTAAACCGCAATCAGTGAAATTTACAACCCAGGTTTCTCTGTTATGTGGTCGGGGGACAAATATCCTCCTAATTCCTGTAGGAGTCTCTCTTAATTGGTACTGAGGAAGTCACTCATTTGGTGGAGGCTGGTAACTGGCTCTGCGCGCCACCCGGCCCAGTCGGTCCACAGCCGCACTCTCAAACGCCCTCCTCATTAGAGGATGCTCCTCCAGGACCTCGTTGAAACTCTCCACGCTCAGGGAGTAAAGACGACAGTAGGTTTCTGCCCTCACGGTGGCTGTGCGTCGTCCTTGGGTTAGCAGGCAGATCTCTGAACCAAAGAGGAGAGGGTCAGTTTAACTTTTAAGGCAATATTTCGATGTGACAGAATGTATTTTATGTAGTTCAGCGAGATGAATGAAAGCATTCTCATGTCTGTACAGATATCAGGAAGCTAGAGCATAATAGACTGAGCCAGGCTGTCTGTTTCCCCGTTTCCACTGTTTGTGCTAAGCTATACGCTAACAGGCGGCTGACTTTCGCTTCATATTTACAGTGCGGATTATCAATGTTCTCATCCAACAATAAACAAGAATGCAAATAAGCGTATCCCAAAAAAATGTCACTGTATTAGGACTTTGAAATAAATATCTTGGCCATTAATACTATTTAGAAACTTGCATGGAGTATTTGGACACATGTCAGCTTGGGTTTTGGGGAATGTGGTCTCTTTTTTTGCAAACAATTTTAAAAATACTTATAGGTCAAACAATCAGTTAACTATGAAAATTAACCAAAAATCAGTAAAATATTATATTTGGGATGTTACATTGTGTGAGTGATTAGATGATGGACAGATGAGTAACATACTTGTACGTCAAGTGAAAATGGGTCGGAGACGGCTTTAACAAAAGAAGAAGAATCCCCACCCGCATCTTAAAGATTTGAAGGGAAAGGGTTCGAAGGTTGAATGTTTCACAAACGCTTTACCTCCAAAATAAGCTCCATCGTTGAGCGTAATCTCTTTACTGCCACGTGGGATGACAGTGACACTGCCGTGCTGGATAAAGTACATTTTCCGTCCCAGAGTTCCTTCTCGTATGATAAAATCGGCCGGTTGGAAGACTTCGAAACGCAGCTTGGTCAGTATCACTGTCACAAAATGAGGGTCGGTGTTGGCAAACAGTGGCATGTTGGCCACAAGCCCACGGCAGTTATAGCTGACTATCTCCTGCATGGTGGAGAGAGAAGACATAAACGTGAGTGACGCTGAGACAATTCTACCTGACTGCATTATTGTATTAATATGTTATTCATTACATTCTGTTGTTCAAATACATTATTTTAAACTTGTTTGTTCCTGAGGAAACAATTTATTGATGCCCTAAAAATGTGCAGCATTAGAGGTGCATCTGTGAGGGGATGTCTCTAAGGAGAGCTACGTGGAGAAAAAGGCACACAAAGTCTCATGAATAACAGACCTCCTTCAGCGGATCGCTGAGCTCTCCAAGGATGCTGTCCTCATCAAACATCTTGCCCTGGAATCTCTGCTCGTAATAGTCATGGATCCGCTGTCTTACGTCCGCTGGGAGTTTATGGAACGACATGTACTGCTCCACTTGCTTGTACTGAAATCATTTGCACAAAACGCATGACGATTTGACCTTCATGTGCATACAATTGGAATCCAACAGAGCTGATGTCAGATGTCACATCTAGTCACATTTTCTACCATGTGTTTGCTGAAATATTCCTGATCACAATAATTATGCGTTCATTGGTTTTGCAGTTTTTTTTCCAGTTTTAAGTGGATTACAAACTCATTTGTAATGGGCATTAGCGAGCAGCAATCCAAAACAAAGGTGCCACCATTTGTCCATCAGCCGTTCGGCCTTATCTTGTGAAAATCCCCTGGAAAGGGTCACAGTCATGGCACAAAGTCCATTAGATAATATACATATTTTCTAAGCATTTGGCACAATTTCCACAAATCAACTGCTAGCGAGTCAGCCGGCCTGTGAAATAAAACATGGACCCAGTATTCAATTTCACAGCCAGAACGGCATTAGCATTACCATCAAGCCATTGGAACATATTGTGTGCAAAACTGAAGGTCAAAATGTCTTAGTTTGTTAATCTTTTGCAGACAGTGCGGAGGTGATTACCTTCTCTTGATACTGGCGATGTGATGCATCCAAGGACTGGACCAGGTTAGCCGCATGACCGAGGAACATGGCGTAGCAGGTGGCCCCCACGACCATACTGATCATGGTGAGCCAAACGTCAGTTAAGCCTTCTGGAGGGTGGGCGCCGTATCCTATACACAGCATGTGACTCATGGCCATGAAGAGGGCGTAGGAGTACTGGAGGTGCCATGTAGAATTCTGGGAGGTTGTGGGAGAATATACTTTAGATCTATACAGACACAGGAATCCAGCATAAGGGACGTTTTACAGTAGCGTTTGAAAACATACCGTTATTTTTTTGACAAAGGGGGGGGGGGGGGGGGGCACATTGGAGGCAATGTCTGAACGAGGCATTAGTGTTCCTATTCAAAATATTTAATTAATACTAAAGAGTATTTTAGTCAGTGCACAGCAGCTGGAAAGCGTCTACTCCACATTTTTATTTATGGTGAAATGATAATAGCACGTTTTTGGTCCTTAAATGAAACGAGGTACACGTTTTTATAAAACATCAACACATCAATGAGCGTCTCACCACCATGTTGTTTTTGGATACCCAGCAGTCTGGGGGAAATTCTTGTAACATAGGCACCATGAAGGTCAGGCAGCCATCCCAGTGACACAAAAGCAGCATCATACCAATCAAGTTGACAATGCGCACGGCAGCGCTGGCCAGGTCATAAGTCATGTGGAAGATCTAAGGGTGAGAGAAGGTGCATGGAAGGACACAAGTTGAACAACTGATGTGTGTACTGTTGTGTGTGTCATCACGAGCTTCGTATCCCATCTTCCTTTACCTCCTCCCATTGGTGAATGTAGCGGATGAGGCGAGACAGCCGGAGAAGACGCAGCAGGCTGAGGATCTTGGTGAAGCGCACGATGCGGAGGGCGCGGGCGGTGCGGTACACGTCAGACGAATCTTGCAGGGACTCCAGGTCAACGACGAGGAAGATGTAGTCAACGGGGATGGAGGAGATAAAGTCCACCAGGAACCAGGTGCGAAGATAATGCATGCGAATATCTTTGGGGTCCAGGATGATGTGGCTGTCCTCTACCGGGATGCCCGTGCGGAAATTGAAAACCAGGTCCATGAGGAAGAGAGTGTCCGACAGGACGTTGAAGGTGATCCAGGGCATGGTGTTCTGGTCTTCAAAGAAGGTGATTCCCCAGGGCAAAATGACCAGATTACTCATCATCAATAGGAGCATCACGATGTCCCAGTAAAACCTGGATAGAACAGGAGGGATGGGAGATCGAGGTTGTCCGGGTGGAAAGATGTAGTTCTTCCAGCTAAATCCCTAAACATTTCCAATATTGTTGTACAGTGATGCACATACAACCACTTTCTAGATTCTTGCTAATTTCGCACCGTGCATCACCAAAGAAGGGACCTGCGGGGTCATTGATCAATTATTTGCATTAGAATAAACTATTTTTTTTTTACGGCTTAATGAAGTAACACAGTTTTTTTGTTGTTTGAGGCTATTTTAAAGTATAGACAACCTTTATATTAGATGTACAAATAAACTCCAATGGGAAAATAAGAACAAAGAATATGTATATATCTACTAAACTGCGTCCTTTGCGAGAAAAAAAAATGAATTTCTGCATAAAATTTGAATATTCGAAATAAAATAAAAAAGATATTGTATAAATGGTTATAGTTTTATTCATGTGATACATAATGTGTATGATTTAAAAGGGAATCAAACACATTAAAACTCAGGAACAGGAACAAGTCCTCTGACTGTCCCATGAATGTAAACGCTCTGACATGAGCGAATCCTGCTAATAACTGCTTGTCAAGTTAATCGTGTGAACAGAGCTTCTTTAGGTTTCGGAGTATAGGACAGAGATCCAGGGAGCTTTCTGGAGGTTTAAGGCCTTATCCCTGCACGCAGCGTGAGGCTTATGGGGAAATCTGTTCGCATAGTGAGTGAATTAATTGTCCGTGGAGTCTATTGGTTTCACCCACACAGTGTTTTTTTGTATTCACTATAGAGGGACACCAGTGACACACAGTAAAGTCAGTTACATTCATTACGTGTTTTTACGTGATTTTAGCGCCACACAAAGCTTTAATCATTGTGTCAACGTCCCTTCTCATTCACGTTCATCCCCCCATGTACCCGCGTCGTCTGCGCCTACACGCCGGGTTACACCGCTCCTTATCATCTCCCTTCATGTGGCAGCAGATTAGTGGTTAGTTGCTGCTAATAACTTCACCAAAGTCTCTGGATACCATTAGGGCTGTTTACATGAAACATGTGACAGGCGGAGTTAATTCTGCTGAATGAAAACCTTTTAGACGTTTTAGCCATAAATAAAAGCAGTGGTGGAACATGAGTAAACATGTTTTTTTTAAAGCATTTCATGTTGACTCTAAATCCAGGATTGAGTATTACTATAACTATTATATAACTATAATATGGATTGCCATTGAAGCTGCTGCTGGTATTCATTTAAAAAAATATTTTTGTTATTTTATTGAAATTGCTGTTGTTGTCTTGGTTTCAGTGGTTGATTTTTTGCAACCAGACGTGACATGAAAGGGTGCTGCTAAGTACATCTAGTGAGGCAAGGGAAGTCATTTGAGTGACATGCAGGGTCATTTTCTCATGGACTTCTACACAATCACACCAATCTATCAGAAAGAATGCAAGTTGAAGGCACTTCGACATTGGATTGAGTTGCAGTCTGGAGGCAGTCGCTCGATTTAGCGACTTTTAAAACAACCTCGGCATTTCTAATATGAGCCTTTACTAAACAGAAACGAAGGAGATGTTTTGGATATCAGCAGAGGACCTTTGTTTTATGTCATTCCTCCAATTATTTCCAACTTTAAATTGGATCGAAAATGCAAAATGAAACCAGCAATCAACAAGAGGAAAGCTGAGCGCAGAAATGCGCGATTCAAACTCATCCATTAAAAAGGGAAGTTAGAGCATAAGGTTTAAGGAGAGTATGGCCTCTAGTAATCCCCCCTCAGCTGTCCGTGTATTATTGCATAATAGAGCAAGATTGGAATTATAGGGATTCTTATGGGTAATAATCCCTCTGCACTGGTTTATCCCCTCTGTCTGGCACCGGCCTGATGTTGAAAATGATTTTAAATATGATGCCTGCTATTGTTAGGGACACCACATACAATTTTTTTGGGGCATTTTTGCACCGCCAGAAAAGGCTGAATGATCAGACTGATCTTTTCAAAAGTGAGGCTGAAATAGAACAAAAAATGTTGGATGTTTTTCAAATGGAATATATCGGATTGCAGATATTAACAGCATCAATGAATGCAGTTCTTCTTTCTCATCAGCCGGCAGAAAGGGAGTTACCAGTAGAACCATTAATCCAGATGATCTTGTCCTATATAGTGTATCACTAATCAAATCCCTTCATCGCCTTATCATGTGAGACCCACCCTGACATGAGCTCCTGTCCTGCAGACTGTCCTTGGAAGAATTGGATCTAACCCCGTCACAGACTGTTTGGTTGGATGTAAAGTGGTTACGTTTCAGTGAAGACAGAAAAATCAACCACCAATTGGGGAAATCTAGTTTTGGCAAAAGTGTACTGACTTTTGTTTCCCCCCATTTAGCACGTTCTGTCCATTCATAAATAATGGGGCAGAGAAATGAAAAGGAGACCGGGGGGTTAGGACACTCCGAAGATAACGTCATTATTACCTGAAGTCACTGTAAGGGTGGATGATCCACACTCCAAAGCTCTTGACCCTGGCCTGCTCAGCAGCAACACCCTTGTGGCTACCGAACATGCGCAGGGAGAACTTGTTGACCCCGGGCTGCAGCATCGACCCCAACTGCATCTGGAAGACGGGGGACTGGTCCGGGGAGGGTCTTGTGCCGTCGCTCTCTCCTTCGCCCACCCCGTGGGTGTCGAGCAGGCCGTCCGGATCGGCCGTGTAGTCGTCATTGTGAGTCTGGACCAAGGAGAAGAGCGTCTTGGTCACATCGGCCCTCTTCTCTGGCTTCGGGGAAGGGGTCCCAGGGGGGGTCGTCCTCTGTGAGCCACTTCTCCACCGCGAGAAGCGCAGGCTGCTCCAGCTGCGGTACCTGGATGTCTCCGGTTTGTGAGAAGGGCTCTCGGCAATGTTTCTCTGGTCCTCGATACTCCTGGAGAGGCTGTTCATTTTCATACTTTGCACTTGAAACCGGTAAGGAAAGGAGGGTTCTGTTGTCCCTGAGACTTGGCTTATAGGGGCCCGGTGGTAAAGTTCACTTACTAACAGAGGCCCCTGCAGCCATCTGACGGACTCTTTTAGCGTGAACTTCCAACACAATTTTTCTGAAACACTTGAAGCAGGCTGTAAACATAAAATACCATGCAGGTACCTACATCTAAAATTCCACACTTTGAACTCTCAGATTAGCACAACACAAATGATGAAACACATTGAAAAAAAATCCACCAAACAAGAAAAGCACTTCCCTTTAATTTGATGAATCCTCCGCGACCGTAAAAATAAAAGCGTCAGCCTGAGCCGCATTCTGTCATTGTTGGTTTGACCAGACGCAAATTGACAGCGAGGGTTGTGAAGCCTCCAGTAATCGCGGCTTGGCATAACTCCGTCCACTCACCTCTCTCCCCCTCCTCCCCACCCCCCCGCAGGAGGGAGAGGGGGGCGGGGAGGGGGGGGGGGGGGCTCCTGTCCCCTCCCCTTCGTCGGGACGGTTCCGGGCTGCTGATGCGCCCGCAGGACCCGCAGAGCAGTCGGGACGGGGACCATTTATCTTGGATAATTATTTGTATGTGTTTACAAGGAAGAGACAACATGCAGTATGTGAAAATAATTGGTTTTATTATGTACCACGACAGGAGCGTAATAATGACAATGTTTGCGTTGTAAAAGAATTTCAATTTCAATGACAAATACTACAAAAAAAAAAATCCCAACCAATCTGACACTGAAAAGAATTTCAATTTCAATGACAAATACTACAAAAAAAAAAATCCCAACCAATCTGACACCTACAACAAATTGTGGAGGGTTGAGTCTTTGTGATGAACATACAACATACTACTGGGAAGTATATATATACTTTGCTTTACACCTGGAAACCCAAAATACAGAACATCTTTGCTTCTTAAAGATGTTGGTTAAGAAACAAATCCGGTAATAATTACACACACTGTGGTGTTAACGTTAAGTAAAACTATTCATTTTTTTAAAGTGTATACATACCAACCGTTTGCTATCATTTCAGTCTGCACTTGCAGAATTAGGAGCCAATAAGAGAGCGATGCCAGCTGCACAGTGGCCCCTGGGGGCCGCGGCGCCACGTTTCTGGGGGCCACTTCTGGTGACGTAAATACCCACACGCCCTCCACCACTAATCATAGAGAGAAGACATCTCACTCCTTCATCTTCTTCGGAGCAGGGTTTCTTGTTTGGTGCCACACATTTTCCTCAAAGAAAGAATTACACCGTATTATTAACTATTTGTGCTACATTTTCCACAAATGTTTAATTGATACTTTTTACTTACTTAACCGTTGGGTCATCCTTGACAAAATCACATATTTGGCGGTAGCCCGTCGCCTGTGCTCTCAGATTTGCAATCTCTTGGTTCCAGGCGTCATGCTCTGATTTTAAATTTGCTTCGTGTCAAAAAAAGAGAAGGAATAATTTAGACCCAAACAGTAATTATCATATTTCACCACATGATGGCACCAGCAGCTGATTTGTAATGTAATGTGTGCTATGCCTTCAATCTCCGTGTGTTCATGTTCTTTGCCGGCCAGCTCCTCCGCTTTAGTTTCCTACAACAGTGTGAAAGAATTGTCAGTCAATGTGACACGTTGTGTTGTGTTAAGCACTGAATATTTACAAAGAAACAACAGCAGCAGCATCACTGTCATGATTGTTAACCGTAAAGTGCTGTATTCAAACTCCCCCTTCAGTAACATAATCATTTTAAATTACAATTTGAAGTACTTGCTCTGCAAAAAAGAAGATTCCACATTACTTATATATTATTCAATATATTAGTTAATGACTGGTGCATTAATGCATCGGCTTCTCCTTGCACCGGGACCTCTTTACTGATAACAGTAAATTTACTGTTACTGTTACAGAGTAAATGGAACTGCTTACACCTCATAGCCATCTGAAACACGACAAACGAAGTGGCATACAATTGACCCACCAACTACCTTAGAATTGTAGTAAAAGGAACAGTGTGTAAAGTTTAGGGGGCTCTGTTGGCAGAAATGGACTATGATATTAAAACGTATGTCTCTTCTAGTGTATAATACCTAAAAATAAGAATTGTGTTTTTGTTACTTTACATGAGGCATTTGTGTCTACATACAGAGCAGGTGTTTCTACAAACCGAAGCCGACACAGACAGGATTCATTTCTTGTGCAAACAGTGTCTCAATCATCTGTGCGAGCTAAGAATGACGCTTTGTTCTCCTGTAATAGTTCCCGTCCTCCAGAATTGATAAAACAAAACAACAAAACAGGGGACGTCACATTGACACTATTTTGAGGAACAGAAATAAAAACAGTAGAAGAAGTAAAAGAAACTTTTCACCTTTTCTTCTTGACAGATGGTAATTTCTGTTTTCATCTTCTCCACATCTGCGACGGCTTCTTCCACGTTCTTCTCCTCATCTTCTGCTATTTTAGTCCCCTTACTAAGCAGATTTTCCAACTGGACTTTATAGATGTCTAATTTTGATAGTTGATCGTTGAGACTCACCAAGTCCGCTGTTTCTAGTTCCTTGTACAAATGGCTCATGCCCTTTCGTCGTTCCAGCATAATCCCCACCACTAACAGGGACGCCGAGATGGACACAAGGGCCACAAACCCCTGAGTCTGCATTGCAGCTGTTGAGGCTTTTGCTCTGTGAAAAGCAAGCTGCAGAAGCAGGGATGACACATTTGAAGCCTATTGTTCAGTAAAAGTTTTCATTCATCACAGGTGGTAACAACAAGTCAGTGAAGCTTCCTGCCCTCTGCGTCTTGTTTTCCTCTTACCTTCCTACACGATCTTGACTTTAGTTCCTGCCTTATTTACAAATCGTCCACACAGATTGTACGTCGCTCGGCTGCAGACGACCTAACTTTCATTTCATTTACAGCCACTGTCCGTTTACGGTGGTTGCACTTTATTCCTTCCTCGTTCTCAACAGACCGGTTTTTATGCTTGAAGCTCCACACTGCAAACAGGTTGTGTGACTCACTCGACACTCTGTGTAGCCGCGGCATGAGCTGAAAAATGCAAAGTGGTTTTATGCGATGGGGAGAGAACCAGTCTAAAGGAATCTGTCTAAAGGAAGAAGTCGATGGCTGAATGGGAGCTGTGGGATCATTTTCAACTGGAAACTATTCGTCTTCCAAGTGTAGATCTGAACTGTGTATATTATGTTTACTAAAAAATAGCATAAGGTCAAAGGCGAAAGGAATATTGGTATCAAGTAAAACGTTAACAGCTTCTCGGATCTCTTTCATAATTGATTCATTTTCTGACGTCTCTGGTTACGCGATTGTGTAAGCCAATGCGCCTTTGTAAAGATTTGCCTCCCAGCCTTGCGAAACAGGTAGTATTTCTAGTCAATCATGTCTAGTTTGACATTTGTTTAAGAAGCTGCTCAACCACTCCTTTAAAAACTGAGCTGATCTCCTGGGTTGGATTCATTTGGTTAAGATGATCAAGTTATATAATACTTCATGTGCTTCCTTTAACCTTTCTGCCCAACCATTAGAAAATAGGTTATGTGTTGCTTTGATCAAAGTGGTGATTAAAGCAACACATAACATAACATGGTACCGCAGGGTGCGGTTATTACCTCGTGGGGTTAATTATTTAACAACCACGGATCCACAGGTAACCAAAGTAAGCAGACTGAGGCAAATGATTCCCCCAGATTACAAAGAGAACAATCATACAATGTATTAAACCAACTCCCATGCTCTAGAAATTAAAGAACCAAATAAACAAATTAAGTGCTACTAGTGACTAGGCCGCAGCGGGACAGGAGGGGGGGGGGGCTCCGGGACGAGGGCCCTCACCGGCTCCGGTGATCCGTCTTCTGGGTAACTTGATTCTGGAAACCGGTATGAGTTCCTGTGCTGATATTAAGAGCTCCACATGATGTGACAATCGTGTTCACGTGAAGCTCAGTCTGTACTTGCTCAGCATAAACTGTTAAACAGAAGCTACTGCACCCAAAAGCAACACTGAATCTACCGTGAGGTCCCACAGAGACACAAGAAAGAAGCTTTAAGTTGCTCCGGTGAGGCTTCAGAGAAACAATAGCAAATCTGCACACTTATTAAACGTATCATTCATTGCACGTCAGCCACCGCCTATGCCAAAAAGAATGGGCAAATAAAGCTTTAAACTTAACTTCATTAGATGTCAGGTCACTGTCAACTATTCTATAGAACCATGTGTTGTCCTTGATAACCGTGATTTCACTCAGCCTGTGACAGGACCCACCCACAACAGGGCCCGCCCGGGACTTAATCATCACCTAAAGTCTAAACATTTCCAAGGTCACTGTGACTGATTTCTGTGTTTTGGCCTCGCGCACACAACCAAGGTTTTGACTGAGCATAACATCTCTGAACAAAACAGGAAACTGTTTACTCAAAGGTTCTCCCTCCCTGGTATCTCAGTCAATGAGCTTGTAGAAAGCTTAAATTCCAAAGTTAGACACGTTGTTTATGCCGTTGCACCCGCTGAAGAGAAGCCGGCCTCTGGTAAGCGATGATCTTTTTGGAGAAAGGCCACAAAAATGTCGAAGAGCTGAGGGCAGGCGGTTGAAAAACAAATCCCCCAGGTTCACTGCGGCATCTGTAAGGAAAGACTTCGCAATTATAACGTAGAACCGAGAAATGCAAGGCAGTCCTTCGTCTCTGACATCACAACCAAAAACAGAAACAACACACAGATAATATACATTCGATTTACATTGGCACAAACATGAAAGTCTGGAAGACATCACACAACATCTGAAGCCCTCCTCTTGTTGCTTAGATGTGATGCATGACCACTGATCTTTTGTACACACATCCCTTCTCTCGGATGTCTTCCCACGTCATCTCAAACCTCCTCTTTTAATTGACCATTTGGAGAAAACAGATTTTCTACAGCCAAAAAAACGTTGGACGTAAATCGTACTTGAAGAAGCGAGTATACTTTGTGTCTATTACATCTTCCATGTTGACATGAGGCTGTTCCAATAACATATTGAGATCTAAAATGTGCCATGCAAGTGAGAGACTAAAAAATTAGACAAAAATTAGAGAAGCAAATTATCTGCAGCGCCGCCGTATTGACATTTGTTTGAACTGCTCTTCTTCCCTTCTGGAACAGCTCGGAATCTTACCATTCAGCATCTCTTTTGAATATCTTATTTCTTTATTTATCACTATTATGCTACATCAAGCATTTACGGAGTGAATTTTTGTCTCTCAAATTTCTGCCTTCATAAAAGTCTATTTATCTCCATTGTAACATACAGTTTGCACACTTGCTGAACTTTTAATTTTTGTGTTCTCATAAAAACTGATTTGAAACATGTAACCTTCTTTTTAAGTGAAATAAACCGTTATAAGCCAGTGGGACCATCTGACACAACACATTGTTGGCGCCAAA